GTGGCCTCACACCAGTCTGCGAAGGAGCGTCCTCCGAAGTCGCCAGAGCCGCCCCCAATGCAGCAGAAGGGGCAGGCAGTGCAGCTTCAGATCCAGACGTCGCTGCTCCAGGAATGCTTACCTGGGAAGCATTATCCCGACCTTCCGCCGCTCGGATGGTCTCTGCTGTCTCGTCACCACGAGCCTTCTTAGCCGCCCCCGCTCGGGAACTCTCGGCCGCTGCCTCCCGTTGACGCTTCGAGAGAAGCGAGCTACTCGGAGACAGAAGCGGCGCCCCCATTTGTCCAATGGTCGGACTCTGGACCGGTTCTGGGCGCCCGGATTCCCTTGGTTTACCAGGGGCATCCAGCGAAGGACAGGGAGAAGAAACTCGAACCTCGGGAACCTCGGATTCGTCTAAGCCAGTGTCAAAACCCTCGGTATCCTCAATTGGATCCTCCGAGAACAACTCCCTAGCAGTTTGGTAGCCCCTTCGCCTCGAAGAACGGAGAGAACCCCTAACAGGACGATCGCGTTCCACCAGACATGAGTTCTGGAACCAGAAATTGGCAGGATTAGCACTAGCGCCCCGATACCAGCGGCAGTATAAGAGCGTGTGGTGTAAATCGCGGTCCTTCGCGGGCAACTCAAAGCGAGCCTGGGTACCTCCAGCATGGGTCCAGAACCATCCCCGAGCTCCGTCAACCAGTCCTCCTTCGAAGTTTAGGTGGGGATTGGCATTGCCCACATACAATTGATCATACCCAAACTGGCGGGCGAACCTGCAGGGGATGTATGGCTCGAGATAGCATGTAGGGCCCGTTCTCAGAATGTGATACCCCGGTCGGATATTCACCAACCAGCAAAAGGCACCACGAGTAAGGACCGTGTAGTGACCCGCCGTCGGAGCATCCCTGAGAGATTCTCCATATCCACCCCCGCTGAAATAAGGGAAGAAGTGGCGAAAATTATAATGCCCGAAGTGGGAGAGCGTCTTCCTTGCATCAGGGATGTCCTTGCATTTCCAAGAGCACCTCTCCAAGCGCTGGACGAAGGGGACGAACTTATCGCCCTGAAGCATCGCCGGGACGCTCATCAAACATTCGCAGTGGTATACAAACCACGCCATCAAGTAGGTGTACGGTAACCCCACCCTAGGATTGGGAGTTTTGATAACTACTCCTTCCCCCTCATCAAGGACCGACACACGGCAGAATTGGGTCGTCAGAGTGCGGAGCCCCCGGTGAATGCACGCTATCGTTGCCGATACCAGGGAATAAGACTTCCCGTGAGCTAGGCAAACCGCCGGATACACGACCTCCACAGGGAGAGCCTCAAAGGAGTGAGTGGGGATTACGCACCTCTTCAGCCATAACATGAGGTACCCCGCGAGCAGCGCCTTCCCCGAAATAAGAAACTTCGCCTGATGATGGAATGAGTAAAAGACCGTACCAGACTTAAACCCACCCTCGTCGCGGTCAAGAGTCATGGTGCTTCCTTCTTTAGCTGTCCTCGCCTCCACTTCGGGCTGGTCGCACGCGCCTAACGGGAGAGCGGGCTTCCCCTTGACATCGTTCCCCGGGAACAGATAATCAGCCCAATTCTTATGGCTGATCCCCGGGGTCTTCTTCTTCTTCCCCTTATGATTCGAGGCCCCTAAGGTATTGAGGCATATGTGGTAGTGGCAGAGTAACTCCCATAGAGTTTCAACCACCAAAGGGGAATGGTTCGACAGCTGATCGATCTCATCTTGATCGGGGACGTATTCCTCGTAAGGAAAGTCTCCCAGAGGCAGCCCCGACACGTCGTACATCTCGTGAGGGGTGATACCAAGCTCACCATTGGGGGTAAAAAATGTGCAGTTCCAAGATACTATGGAACTGAGAAGCGTTGATCCGCAAGCCGTGTCGAGTGGCTTCAATGGCCACATACAGCTCTGTGCCTTTGAGATCAGCATTTTCGGCCAGAATGTAGTCGGTGATCTTGGACCACCACGTGTCGCTGCCAGGTGCAGAATAGACCCACCCCGGGGCCCTAAAGTCCTTAGGGGGAAAGCTTCCACCAGCTCGAAAGAAGCGGTGACGGAAGGTCTCCGCCACCGCTGTCGACTCCCCCACGGGCGGTTCAGCGGACATTAAGCCAGGGCGCAGGCCCGTCACGCGCTTGCACGAACTCTCCACTCCATACCCAGCAGTAGAGACCGTAAAGACGCCACAAGTGACCCCGTCCTGAGAAGGGGTCAAATCCCAGTTCATCGTCCGAGGAATGGCGAAGGACCGTAGCTCGACGATCGAAAACCCTCTCGACATGCTGGGGAGGTAATAATGAACCCTCTCTACCGTGCGGAACCACCGGCTCTCTTTGAGCAACAGGGCGGAAGGGTCGGCCATAGCATCGCCGAACAAAAATTGAGGCTTCGGCAGCTCTGCCCTGTCCTCATCTGTCAACGCCGCGTTGGTCGTCAACTCGCGTAATGTCAAGTGATGACCATCCGTGACTCTCTGTACCAGACCATGCGGCTTATCAGCGGTGAATACGGGCACTGGAGCCAAAGAAGGAAATCGAGAAGGTGCCGTGTAACTCGTAGCCCCGGCGTGGCCAACGGCCACACCCTCCGGGAAAGCCTCATCGGAAAAAGTCGCTGCAACAAGAAATAAAAAGTCAATCGAGACAAAATCCGCTGAAGGGGCAAAATCGCCCATCAAACAGAGGAGGGCAAAATCGCCTATCGAAAGGGGGAACCCATTTCGAACGAGGTCTATCCGTACAGACTATACTCCCCTCTAATGGAAAAAGGGCCGAACTCGCCTTACGAAAAGGGAGTTCGCCTCCTTCCCACTGAAGGATTCGCCTGCAGGGACGGTACATTCGTGGTATGCTCAATGTTGGTTTGGTGTATGAGCAGGACACCACAGGTGGGCAATTATGTATGGGCTATATTGATTCGGATTATGTTGGGGATTTGGATAAGCGCCGGTCTACGACAGGGTATGTGTTCACTTTGACCCATGTCGGCGGAGAGACGATCGGAGTAACGTCCGGGGCCTGCACCCCTCACTTTGCACCTCTTAGATTTCGGAGCCATTGTAGGATGAAGCGGGAATTCTTTCCTTGGAGGTTCCTTTCAAGATTTGAGAGCACGGTAACTCCCAATGGAGGAAAATGGCTGATTTAGAAGGGCTGAGTTATCCACGTGGCCACAACTGCCCTCGAAAGGCGAAAACCCTAACAAACAGGAGACGTGGCCACGATCAAATTCGACGGCTCAGATCACCCTCGGTATATCGAAGGAACCAAGGTTGGCGGTTGCATCCGACGGTTGAGTTCGAAAACCACGGCCACGATGCGTCGCGGGGCGAAACACGCGAAAATCGGGTTGTCAAGTCACGATCGCCACGACCCGATGAGACCGCGCCGCCTTAGCTGGAAAGCACAAAGCCCTATCAGCAGACACGTGGCTCATCTCCCGTCAGATCTGGGCCCGTAAAGGCACATCAAACCCGTTGATAGCTGAGGATTTGCTAAAAATCCTAAAAGAAATCAAGTGCGCTTACTTCGCCGAAAATTTCTTCATTCAAAGTATTCCAGACCACACGCGAGCCGGTTTAGGTCTGAAAACTTTGAAGGGGGTCTTGTAGACGGTAAAAAATACCTCTATAGGCTTATAGGAAATTCGCCTGCGAGAAGAGCTCGCACGCTCGGTTCTTTGGCACGGGCCTAAATCGCATAGACGTCACATATGCTCGATTCTAGGTTCGCCTTACGGTCGGCTCGCCAGCACGAGTTAAGATCGATCAGGATGGCGGAAGTTCGCCTTTCACTCAACTCGCCTGCCCGAGTCCAGAGTCGAATCCGCCAGCAAACCCCAATACCATCAGTACAGCTGGATATCCGCTACCCCACGTGCTGAGTTGGACTTTCCCATCCCTCTCGACCCGAAGGGAGAGAGCATAGTACCCCAGGACCGTCAAACGGCCGCTCGCAGTACGCACAGCACGAAGGCCTGGACAGGTGTCGAGTCAACCTGAGCATTCATAAATGCGACTCACCTCGGCTGTCTGAGTCAAGAGCTGGATCCGCCGGCACTCGGCAAGCTGGCTAGACCCCCTCGAGTACTGTACACCTACTTCACCGCCTCTCCTGACCGGAAAGGAGAAAGCATCGTGCTCAAAGCACGCCGGGCGGTCACGCACAGTACGAGTGATCGGACAGACACTTCATCGATCTGCAAACTCATAAATGTGGTTCATTAATGCTGGTCAGGTCCACTCGGATAGCAGACGGCCGTTGCCTCATATACAAGGATGGGCCTTCCCATCGTAGGTGACAGGACATAAAGCACAATCCCTGGAATGACCATTCATGGTATCGAGGAGCAGCCAGACGTCTCTGAAGAAGATGTGGTCACATCCCACAATTCAAGGAAGAGTCAACCTGTCCTTCTTCCATTTAAAAGCCCCTTCCAGCACATTGGAGGAGAGGTCGCAAAACTTAGAGAAAAGAGTTGAGACCAAGCTCTCTGCATAACCTTTGCATTGCAGCATCACTGTTTAGTTCCAAGCTCCGATCGCCGGCGAACTAAGCAGAATCGAACTCTATTGCCCCGAGTTTCTACTACGTACTGAAGCTCTCCAGCAACCTCGATCGAACGGTCCAAGGGAAGCAGACTCGACACGAGCATCGAGCGAAGCGTCCTATAGCCACCTAAAGTCCCCACACAAAACAAAGAGGGCTTTCCCTCTGCTTCTGTTGTAAACATTTGATTTGTTAGTTTGTAATAAGTCTTCTTATTAATACAAGCGAACACTTCCTGTTTTCGGGAAATTAAATATTCACCCTACAGAAATGTTGATGAGATGAGTTGTCACAATATTATTGGATGATGTGAGTGATTTTTAAAGATGAGATGAGATTGAGAAGAGATGAGTTGGATGATGTGACACATTTTTTGTTTGGTTTATTTTATTGGATGATATGAGATGAGTTGTTGGATAAAAATAATATTTTATTAGGTGTTGTAGGAAGTTTTAGGGATGGAAATAGTGGAAATTACACTTTTTGTGATTTCCAAGCTCTAATTTCCTATTCTTGGTTTTTAGGAAACCAATCAAACAACCCATTAGGATTAGCAAAATGGCCAGATTGGTATATTTTTTCGAGGCTTGGTGACATATTGGTATATTTTCTTTTAGTTTTAGCAGATTGGTATATTTTTTTAATTCTGGCGCCATATAGGCCTTATATTTGACCGGAGTTACTATTCTGGCCAGTGCTGATGGGATTTTTTGCATAAAACCCCCTCATCAAATACAGTTTCCTGCTCCTAACCCCCCTCTCTCCTCCTCCTCCTCCTCATCCTCTTCAACCTCACCCTCTCCCTCCTCCTCCTCATCCTCTCCCTTGTCCTCCCTCCTCATCCCTCTTACCGATCCCCTCCATCTTCTCCTCCCCCTCTCTCCTCTCCTCCTCCTCCTCCTCCTCCGGCCTTCTCCACCTCCGCCCATTCTCTGTCGTCACCTCCCTCTCTCTCCTCTCCTCCCTCCAAATCCCTCCGCCTCCCTCCTTTCAAATTATCAAACTTGATTTTTCATGATCCCTAGTTGAATTGAAGAAGCAGAGCTCATGTTGCACGCAATTGACCAACAAGACTGATCAATATGTGGCCTTCAAGGTAACTAATTATGTATTTACTTTGTATTCTCCTCAAACGTCACTCTCTTAGCAGTGCCTCCTTTAAAGAAAATAAATGTTTAATGTCAATTTCCAATGGCCTATTGGTAATGCTTCACGTTTCTTGCTTTGGTTTGTAGGTTAAAACCACTAATCCTAAGAAATATTGTGTGCGACCTAATGCGGGAATTGTTCTCCCTGGGTCAACATGCGATGTCACTGGTATATGTATTCTTATTTGTATCGTGTAGTTTCAAGTCTTTGGTATGCTTATAACATGTAATAGTCTATATGTCATATTTGGATCCTTTAACATGTAATAATTCTTGCTTTAGCAACACTTTGTGATAGGATTGCTAGAGTTTCATTGTTAGTTAGTAATCTCTTGAATGAATATGCATTATTCTTGTTGTTTTATGTTTAGTTACAATGCAAGCTCAAAAGGAGTCTCCACTGGATATGCAATGTAAAGACAAATTCCTCCTTCAAAGTGTTGTGGCTGAGCATGGTGTGACGTCGAAGGACATAACCCCTGAAATGGTACACTCTTTGTTGATACTTTTTGACTAATAATTATTTTTCATTTCATTTATTTGGGACTTGTATGGTTATTGTTGAATACTTTGTGTTTTAGTTCAATGAGAAGTCCTCAGAGGTGATTTGTTCTTTTCTCATCATTTAGTATATGGAACATTTTGTGATTCAAATGAAATTGCCTTTGCTAATTGATTGTAAGACAAATAAAAGAGAACCAAGGTCATCTAGTATCACGAAAGTTCCAAGACATCAACAAGGATAATGTCATTGATGTTGTTTGTTTGAGATAGATGGTTTGTTATCTTCGCAAGCCCTTCAATTCCACATTTTCAACTATACGTGTTATCTATAATGCACTTCATGTAACTTTCTGATAAATTTCAAAGGGTGTTATATTTGTTCTCTATACGTGTTATCTATAATGCACTTCATGTAACTTTCTGATAAATTTCAAAGGGTGTTATATTTGTTCTATGTTTATTGAATTTGCACTCTCTTGTGTTCTGTAAATGATGTCAACATGGTCACCATGACATAATAAATTCTTTATATGGTACGACATGGACACTTTGTCATGGTTATGCATAATACATGTGATAAGTTTGGTGCATGCATGGGTTCGTGCACAATGCACATCAAATCATGATCAAGGACATGAATCTCTTAAGCAGAAGGGGAAAATCATAATCTTATCTATCTAAATTCATATTGCTAATCGGTTATCTGAGTCAAAGCAAAAAAAAAAGAGAAAAAGAAAGAAAGAAAGAAAGTCCTGACCAATACTTCAACATGAATTTTGTTAGCTTCATGTTGCTTCAGATTAGTGGGAGGGGAGGAGAGAGAGGGAGGTGGCGTCAGAGAATGGGCGGAGAGGCGGAGGGATTTGAAGGGAGGGGAGGAGAGAGAGGGAGGCGGCGGCAGAGAATGGGCGGAAGTGGAGGACGAAGGAGGAGGAGGAGGATAGGGGGGAGGGGGAGGAGAAGATGGAGGGGATCGGGAAGAGGGATGAAGAGGGAGGAGGAGATAGAGGATGAGGAGGAGGAGGGAGAGGGGGAGGTTGAAGAGGATGAGGAGGAGGAGGGAAGGGGGGATTAGGAGCAGGAAACTGTATTTGATGAGGGGGTTTTATGCAAAAAATCTCATCAGCACTGGCCGAAACAGTAACTACGGTCAAATTTAAGGCCTATATAGCATCGGAGTTGAAAAAATATACCAATCTGATAAAACTAAAAGAAAATATACCAATATGTCATCAAGCCTCAAAAAAATATACCAATCTGGCCATTTTGCCTTTTAGGATTAGATATTTTTTTATTAAATAGTACTGTTTCTTTTGTTCACCACCATATCAATTATTAAGGCTTCGTTTGGATACCATGGTATTTTTCGTATTGTGTTTTTATAAAAAACAACATGGTGTTGTGTTTTTACTTTTAAATGTTTTCAAAACACTTTGTTACGTATTTTTGGTCAACACTAGTTTGACTCATTATAACATTAGTATTAAACATATTAATTATAATAAAATATATTGTAAATAAAATGTTATAATATTTAGTTTACATTATTATAGCATTATTAATATTAAATATAATGCAATATAATATTATATAATGTATTATAATATTATATTATACTTTAATGAGTTTTATTATATTATAATTATTATTATATTATAATTATTACATATTATTTTCAAATAATTATACATTAATTATTTTGGTATATCAATTTGTTATTATTTTATATTATATTAATATTTTATAATAGTGTTATTTTATTATTAATATAATATTGTACTATTATTAATATAATATTATACTATTAGTCATATAATATAATATTATTAATAATGTTAATATTATTTTATTACTAGTATGTTATTAATAAATCCAGTATATTGATAAATATTTCTAATTATTATATAATATATTATAGTTTTTTTAATATGTTAGAGTTATTAATAGTACTGTTTAAGTAATATATCAGTATTTATGATTAATAAATATTGATTAAATTTATATGAATATAAGCTTATTTTTGACATTAACTTGTTACGCAATAAATATATTTTATTATTAAAAATTATTTTATTTATAATAATTTATTATTCATTACATAATATATTAATAATATATATTGCATTTACTATACAATAGTTTATTAATAGATAATATTATATTGTTATGTTATTCATTAAATATGTTACTAATTATAATACATATTTATAATTATTAATTTTATTTTTACAATTTATTTATTAAAAAGTTAATAATGTTATAGTAATAATACTATATTATTATATTATTATTTATTATCAATAACTTTTTGTTATTTTTTATTACTTTATTTATATTTTTATTATTTATTTATTAGATAATACATTATTAACATATTAAATATTAGTATTTAATATGCTATTATATTATTATATAAGGTATTTTATTTATTATATTTTATTTATTATATTTTATATTATTTAATAAATGTTACTAATATATGAAATTAACTATAGTATAATATAGTATAGTATAGTATAGTATAATATAATAAGCATGTTGATAATAACTCTATATTAGTTACATTTAATATTGGAAAAATGCTTCTAGTCTCCAAAACAAAAGAAAACATGCTTCCCCCCAAGACTTTTTCAATTGGTGCTTTGCCCCCAAAATGCTCCGCGATTTTATTCCAACCCCCAAAATGAATCCCCAGGCGTAACTCCATTTAAACCCCTCACGAAATGCCCAAAATACCCTTCAATTTAAAATTCCCCGTTATGAGTTACCTCTACGTCCGTACCCTATCATCTCTCTTCTGTAAGCAAACCGACTCCAAAAATCCATTTCAAAACCCTAGCCCTGAATCAAATGACTCCAACGCAAACCGAATCAAAGCAAAGGGATTAAAATGAATGGCGATTCAACCCCCAAAGTAAGCCTCCATGCTGACCACAGCGAAAGTGATGACGCCCAACAGTTCAAAATCTTAGAAAGAGACCAGACAACAGCAATGCGTACTAAATCTGATACTGAAGTTTTGATTGCTAATGTTCTAGAGGACATCGCAACCAGCCATTCTCAACCCAGAAGACCACCTCAAAATTAAAGTCTTGGACCCCGCCTAGATCTAGAGGGCAGCACCGGCACCAGCACCGCGTCCAACGATGCCACTAGAGCTCCTTGGTCTATAGAGAGGAGAAAAAGAGAAGCTCGTGGCAGCACCCAAAAGATAATTTTTACCGTAAGTTTTATGTTGTTAATGTTATGGTTTTATTAATAATGCTCCTAGTCTGGTGGGAAGGTTCAGAATTTCAGGTGTCTGTTAGCTATTGAGGTTACTGTTAACATGCAAGGTTCATGCTTTTATTGTTGAGGTTGTTATTTGGTTGTCGATGTTAGGCTTTGGTTGTTAAGGTTATGGGGTTGTTGTTAAGGTTGTTGGTTTATCCGCAAAGTTTACAACATAGTTGTTATGTTTACTAATTATTTTCAAAAATGCTTATGTATTGTGTTTTTATTATGTAGAAAAAGGGCAAAACCAACTATTACGTTGCGGCCCACCGCCAGCTTCAGTGTCTATCATGACTTCATGCGGAATTTGGTGCAGCATATGGAGCCAAGGCACTTTGCGGCCTATGAAGATAGTGTATTCAGACACTACATCCATTTTGGCCCACATGGTGTCGATCTTCCCACCTTTGAGCATATTTTGAGTCAGTGGGACAAGAAAAGGAAGAAATTCATCTTCACCGATAGGAATGATGGAGAAGAGATCGCCTGCTCATTCAACCATGAGTGGATAATGGAGCATACATGGTTCTCCAATGAGGGGCTTCTTGTTGACCACAACCGGGATAGGAAAAATAGGATTTGGTCTAGGTTTTTTAACAAACTCGAGATCGAGGGTGCCAGAAGTATAGCTCCTCCCAATGGAAGCCCCACTAGACGCAATATGGAACAACTGCTTTTGAAGCTGGTACTATCGGCTGATCGCTGAGATGTGAAGGACTTTGTCCTGCTATAGATCCTCTATCAGCTGAGCATGATTTGGTGTCCAAGCAGTGTTTCTGGCGTTCCTAGGCATTTATTCAAGTACGTTGAAAGCATAGAATAGGTCAATAACACTGCTTGGGGGACCTATATATTCAGTGAGACATCTGACGCGATAGAGAGGATATTGAAGGGTCCTGAGCTAGAGAAGAAGACTTTATATCTGCAAAGGTGTACCCCACTAGTTTGTGTAAGTAATCATATCTTTTTATTACTGATTGTGAAGGTTAGGGTTTAGTTATAAATGTTACAGTTTGGTTATCAAGGTTACGGTTTGGTTGTTAATGTTACAGTTTGATTATTAAGGTTACGTTTTTATTGTTAGGGTTATTTATTAATTATTAAGGATAAAGATGTTTGTTAAGTTTTTATTTCTCTAATGTGCAGTTGTGATACTATGAACTTACTAGCATCAAGAAGTCAGCAATTGGATGTACGATGAGGCCTCCCCTCACAAATTGGATGAGACTTGTAGAGGTTGCTGGTTCTTTGAGATTGGTCACTGTTGTAGCTAAAGCAAGAAAAGCTACAATAAAGCTTCCACAGCAACATAGCCAATTTTAAAGAATCGAGGGAGGTTTGTGGGGGAAGGAGCAAGGGAAGAGAGAGAGAGAGAAGAGGAGGATTAAGGGACCGGCTGCAGTAGACGCCGGCAGGGGGCATGGCCCAAGACACCTTCACAAGAATAAGAGGGGAGCAGAAGATGACATCCCAATTGATGCAGTTGTAAGACTTTAGTAGTTATGAATTTCATTTGTTTTTTTAATTAATTAATCATTTTAATAATACTCTATCTGTTCATTGCATAAGTGATACCACAGAATATTAATGAAGACATCAAGCAACCAAATGAGGCAGTTGAGAAAATGGAATGGCCTCAACAAGTGATCTACTGGAAGAGCATAGCGTCAATGAACCAAGCATTACGTCGCGATAAGGAGAATAAATTCAAGTATATGATTGCTGCCGACCGTGTAAAGA